AAAAATGGCTGGACACGGGATCAGCTATAAACTAAGCCTTGAATACCATCCCTGGGAGTTGAGACTACATGATTCACTTGCTAGATTCTTATGTTGCCTTCTGGCAAGATTAGAAATATCATATTCAATCCACATATCTTGAATACTTTTAATTGTACCAATACATTTCAATATATTGATTAACAAGTTAGTAATTTTTCAAGTGAAAATCCATTTCTGACATTCAGCAAAGCCTCAGTGTAGAACTGGGATGTGGCTAATAACCACAGGGTTTGTAGTAGCTTTTCTACAGTGTAGCCTCTCTGCTTTAATGCTAACTAACCACTCCTGGAGTTTGGACTTCTGATCAGAATTCTAGCTGCCCATGGTTATAACTTAACCTAACATACATTTCTTACCACAGTGTCTATGCTGAGGTATTTTAATGTAAATTAAAACATTATCGCATTTCACTTTAAATATTTCAGAATATATCCTTTAATCTAGGTTAATTCGGGAAGCAAAGAGAAATGAGGTCAGTACTTCAAAGACTGTGAACTCTGAGAATAGTTATCACATCTCACAAAAATATGGCCACATAACAGTAGCTATTCAATGCATCTTTAAAGAAGAAACTGAGAAACCACTGATACCTGCTTAGCACTCTCTCTCTAATACTGGGTGCCCATGTAAATTGCTGCTTTTTCATAGATAAGAACATATGAAAGATAATTCTATTTAAGATCTATAATTCAAAACCATAGTCACAGAAAAGGAAAATGGTAGCCGAAAATGCGTATGAAGGATAACATTGTTAAAGGACACAACAAAAGTTTATCGCTATCTACCCGATTACCCAGCTCTCTGAAGGCAGAATGATAAAGAGACACTAATTCTGTCCACAAAAGGCTCCTAATCCATTAGGGACAATGAGAATAAAACAAGTAAATAATAAACTATTATATTGGATATTACTGCTACTGAAAACACTTTATCATTAAAATAAGAATTTCGTTCAAAAGCAGGAACAGAAAACAAGTTTAGCAAATGTTTGGGTCAAGAACCAAGAATGAAGTGTGTTGTTAGAAGTTTATTTATTGAATAATCATTCTTTGAGTGCCACTCTTGTGTTTATTTGATTCTAAACTGTCAGATTGTTCACTTTCTAAAAATCAGCTTGTTGGGGGGGATCTTTATGTCAAATGTACATATCAGTTGTAAGAAGAATTTTCAGAAATGTAAAAATATGAACAAACATGTCCATATTATTATAATATGTCCCGAGCACTTTGCTAGGTACAGTGAGTACAAAGGAGTGCCTAATAGTCATGACCTACCATTATTAAGATTAATCTAGTGGAGGTAGTGAAGGTATACAGATATTATTCGAATAAATGCATAAAAATATAATTACAAAGTTGTGTTGCAAGAAATTAGGATAAATTTAGTCAAGTGTATATGTAGCAAAAATGTGATTAAAAAAAGTTAAAACACAGAGGTTTTTAAAAATCTGTTTCATTCTTTATTTTTTGACTAGTGAGTGCTAAAATGTCCATGAGCTCTGATAACTTTCTTTTCCTTTTCTTTCTCGCCACTTCTCTGGTCAACTTTTGGAGTTCTGCTATAAATTGCAGACCTGCTTCTCTGGGTTCTTCCAGATGATTTCTTCACCATATTAGTACCCTGTCTAAATTTTCAATCAGAACTAGTTTTATGAATCCAAATTTATATATCTTTATCCCATGTCAAGCTTCTCATAACGTGTCAAATTTATTCAAAACTTCTAGCTGAAATCTTGAATAGTACTGTTAAAGATAATGTAAACAAGCACAATTGTCTCTCCTTGCCAAACAAGATTGGCCAGGTGATATCAATTATTTTGCAACATGTTCTATTATTCAATACATGTTATCACTTAACCTTGTATACAGTATTATGCTGGGACTATGGGAGGTAAAATTATTACGTGTTTTCTATTAATACTTTAAGGGAAGTTCAAATCTAGTAAAGGGGATGAGAAAGAGGGTATTCTTCTATGAGTATAATGTCAGTTAGTAAATAACATTTATTCAGAACAGATCACTATCCTGGGTTATGTAGGGGGCTGAGTGTTGGAGAAAACAAAAAAGACATAGAAAAAATAAAAACAAAAACAAACATTTTTCCTAACCAAGTAATGAGATCTCTCCTTTGACAGCTTGGTAATCATTATATTTTATTGAACTCTAGTCTCTGTCTCTATCTATATATTAGAAACAAGAGAAATAGACCCTGTACTTTGCTTTGGTCCAACCAATTGCAAAACACTGATATGGATCCTTAATCTTTCTTTAGCTAGCCATCTTTAAGAACTTTAGGTTATTACTATACATTGAAGGAACATTTCATTTTACACGAGCAGAACACTTCATTCTATTTTTGCCATTTCCTAAAATCAAAGCAACCAAGAAAAAATTGTTCCCACAAACTCATTACTTATTGCTAACTTGACATATTCAGCTTGATCATCTGGTATAACGTATATATTCTCAAAACTAAATAGATTATCTTGACACTTGCTCTTGGCACAATGAAAGAAAAGCTTATATCTTCAAATATAAGGTCTACATATTACCACATTATAAGGTTAGGATGCCAGAGGAGCTAGGAAAATCTTTTAAAAAATCAAAGACATTTTGTTATCTGGTTGTTAAATTATGAATTTAAGGAAATCTGAATATAAGAAGCCCAAGTATAAAGGATATCTGAAATGTAGATCCTAAACATGATACCCTTTCTCCAATATCTTATACCTGTGCAAAATATGTGGCATTATGTACATGTTTAGTTTTCAAAGATCACAATCTGAGACATATTATGTCCTAGCTATAATATTTTATAGGAATTGTTCTAATAAAACCTATAAAATCATGAGGCCAGCAACATCCAAAGAAGAAAACTTTAGATGAGCATTAGTATAATGACACTTAAAAACTGATTTAGTGTGAAAAGATCACAATGACAAGAAAGCCACTAAAAGTGTCATGTGGACTTAATGAAACAGAGTAAATGTTTTGTGCAGAAAAGAATTTAATTTTTTATTTTACCACTATCTATATGACTTTTGGCAAATACCTCAAAGCCTTAATGAATCTCTTGCATCGGGGCCTGCGCATGCCCTCTGAGCTACTACTTTCTACCCTATTCCTTAGAACCTTCCTAACCCCTACTGATTTTTTGTTCTATGTCACTTCCTCCAGGAAGCCTTCTCTGAACCCTAAATATAAGTTAGGTGATCTTCTAACGTGGTACCATAGCATTCTATACCAACCTCTCAACACAGCACTCATCTCATTATGTTGTCTGTTTGTCTACATTCCCTACTAAACTAGAAACTCATTGAGGACAGACTATTACTCATCATGATTTCCCTAGCACCTCCATAGTCTCTGGCATGTAGTAGGCTTGAAAATCCAACCAGAGATAATTATATATCCTCGTATGGATATCCAAGTTCAGTGACACACTCTCTTTTCGAGAGATAAATGAAATGGCATGTATCCCTGGTTCTGATCAAACCATTCTTCCGATCTGCCTGCTTCCTAGCCTCCTTAGTCCCTTCTTTTTTTTTTTTTTTTTTTTTTTGAGACAGAGTCTCAGTCTTTTGCCCGGGCTAGCTCACAGCAACCTCAAACTCCTGGGCTCAAGCGATCCTCCTGCCTCAGCCTCTTGAGTAGCTGGAACTACAGGCATGTGCCACCATGCCCGGCTAATTTTTTCTATATATTTTTAGTTGTCTGATTAATTTCTCTCTATTTTTAGTAGAGACGGGGTCTCGCTCTTGCTATGGCTGGTTTCGAACTCCTGAGCTCAAACAATCCGCCCGCCTCAGCCTCCCAGAGAGCTAGGATTACAGGCGTGAGCCACCGCGCCTGGCCCTTAGTCCCTTCTTAATCATGTTTACAACACTCTATTGGCTTTGAATGGGAAAGTTATTGTACATTTCCACTTTGATTTTTCTTGTCAAAAAAAGGGGGTGCACTGTCTAATGCTATCTCTAAAGACCAAAAACAAAAAAGTCAGAGTACTAAAAAATTATTATTTTCAGCATTGTATCATTACATCACTCTAAATGAAATTATAACATTGTACTATTTTGGTCTAATTTAAACAATTTAAACTTCTACTAGTAGATAAAGATAAAAATTTTTCAAAGGGTTTGAGGCCATATCTAAGCAGTTTATAGGAAAAGCATTGATGGATGATGCAGAGGTTTTAATAGTCTGATAAAAAACACACTGCTTCAAATATTTGCTGCATAAAAATCTATGCATAAACGCAACAAAAAAATTCTAAAATTAAACAAAAGAGTCATTTAATGGCCACATATAGTCTGCAGACAAAGCCTTAGACAAACTCCAAACTGCTGGCACACCAAAACTACAAAGAGCAGCAATAGGGCCAATCTCATTTTTAGTCTTTAACTGTAATATCACCTTCAACAAGTAATACCTGAATATTTTCATCACAAATGCTACAAGTTCCAAAACCAAAATTAAACTCAGTGATTTGTTCTTATCACACTTTCAAATGTCAAGCTAGTGTCAGCTAGAGACCCAATGAGTCTCCTTTACCTCACTGCTCTAAATCTGAAATCTTACATTTTCATTACTATGTTTCTTTGGATTATAGTAAATTGAAAAGACCCAGAAGAAAAACCAAAACACATATGTTTTGTGAAAGTAAAATTGTGTGTATTAAAATTGACTTGGTTCATTATCTCTTTCTTTTAGAGAATACTTGATAAATAATAGAACTTTAAAAAGATACTCTTGGCAGAGATGGTATAATGAGAACATAAATATCAGATGAGTGGCTGATTAGATGACTTTTAAAGTCCTGTTCAGCTCTGAAAGTCCAGGATTTAGGTCATGAATCAACTTAAGGCACATTCTCTGCTGAGTAAGTTCCTCATATTTCTTATAACAATAGCAATATTTGTAAAAAGAAAGGCCCCAGCCAACAGGGGAAATGGTACTTACGAGTATTGTGTCAGCAGTTCCAAATCATTATGCATGTTGATTGGATATGCTTCACTGAGCTCAAACAACTTCTCCAGGGCTTCATAAATGAAAATGATGCAAATTAGGGAAGCAAAAGCTTCTTCAGTAAACCGGGTGATATAGCAGACAAGAGAACTTGCATCAGTGGCCACAAGTATGATACATAGGGTTGCAGTCCAAAGTCCAATACTAGCTCTTAAAGACAGGTATGACAGCCCATATTCTCTAGGAGGAGGAAAAGGAAAGAACAGTGGAAAGAAGGTCATTTAACAGCTTGACACTATTTAAATAAACGAAAATAAGTGTAATTCAGGAAGTAAGTAAATAAACTTCACATCCCGTGAGTATCTAAACTCAAGACTTGGTCTAAAGGGAAAATCTAAGGGGACAAAACTAACAGAAGTTTCTTAGTGCCTAGAACTGAATCTTACTTTTTATAAAGATTAAATAACAATATACATAAATCTTTTACTTTTCCTCTATTTCCATGGAGAGACAAAAATTACAAACTGAATCAAATCAGCCAATTCCACCTCTCCCAACAGTCCTCCAAAAGTGATGTTGGGAGAAGTATAAATACAGTAAAGAAAAAGAAAGGGGCTAAGGGCCAAGAGTACATAACACTTACTTGCAAAATTTAAACAAAATCTTTTCAAACACCAAAACTGGTCCTGTACTGCCTAATATGGTAAGAGGCTGTCCACCAAAGAGAGAATAGGCTATCCCGGTCATGGATGCTCCAAAGAGAGATTCGATTGCACTCTGTGTAGAGATATAAATGGTTCCATTACCGCATCCATAGTAACTAGGGAGAAAATGTTTAAAATACATAGGTATGTACTTTCTCCTTCATTATGACAAGTCTAGCAATCCTGGGTAGGACATGGGGTAGGAACATGAGAAAGCAGGCCAACAGTAAGCAGAAAATGAATGGTAGCAAATGGAAAGGTGTCCTCTCCCCCTTCCTATCTTATGTTTCTGTTGCCTTACCAAAAGTTTAAATATATTCAGGATTAATGTCTGGACAGAAACATGGCCCGGGTATATGGGAAATGGTCATCTCATGAGGTAAAAACCGAGCCTAAAGCTAGGCTAGGACTGGGGGCAAAAGGGAACGGCATCAGATCAGAATCTTGTATATAAGTCTCAGAACTAGTTGCTATGAGATATTCCACACCCAGATTACCAATTCCACTAGCCATTCAGAAAATTCATATGAAGTTTATCTGCCAGACCATCTATTAAATCTCTCCTCATAAAGGAATCCAAAATAAAATGCTCATTTATCTAACTATGAATCCTAAAAATGGATTAAGTTTCAAAGTTCAGAGAAAAGCGTAATACATACTATACGCCCTTCAGTTGCTTCTCCCAGCAGTCCTCCAAATGTGATGACAGGAGACATACACGCGCAGTAGAGAAATAGAAAAGATGCTAAGCACTGCAGGCTGAAAGCATCTGTGAAGTCACTCCAGAAGTATGGAGCTTTTCTTTTGATATCTAAAATAAGTCCCCCAAAAATCCTAAAATAGGGGGAAAACACAATAGTGAAATACAAATATAAAAAAGCACACAAATCAAAATGCTCATTTGCTTTGTTGCCAGGTCACAGTATAGGTTTTCCATCAGCAGAGGTGAGACCCACATTATCCTGCTATGTTGTATTATCATGATCTACAGGGATGGCTTTGCACCACTAGGCTACCTCAATTCCTAACCAAATATCACGTCAACAACCAAAAATCCCAGGTTCTCTAAAACAAGGTTCAGAGCTGTTCACCAATCAAAATTCAAATAATGACATTCAAAGATCACTCTAATCTCTGTGACATTTCTACATCAACCTACTCCTCCTAAACTCAGACCTATCATCCTCAACCATTGGCAGTATTTTCTAATTGTTTACGTTCCATTTAACATAGCAGAAAGGGAGGGAGGGAGGGTTAACTGGCTTTTGTATACTCCAATAGTGAAATCACCCTAGAGAGAAAAAGCAGTGTTTAACCATGGCTCCAGTTACCTACTCTCTCTACCAAAAACTAAAACTAAAAATAAAAGTAAAAAAATCCCTCACCAGATACTGTTCCAGGGAGACATTTAAATGGCCTTATGGATAACAGCAATGCTTAATAGAGACAGATAGGTTCCATAGTTGTTTTCATTTTTAGGAAACTAGAGGAGAGTCCCTTATAATAACCAAACTAGATGAATGTAATTTTGATTCACTATTGCCTCAGCATATCCCAACATTTAGGATTCACAAGACAATAATGACTTTACTTGGTATAAATTCATTTATTCTAAATATATCTAAAATCACATTGAAACATTTAAAAGAGGATATTTTGGGGGGAAAAAGTATTAAACTGTAAAATGTTGCTTAAAATTTGAGGATTAAATTTTTTTAATCTATTGGAAATGACAGCTTTAATAAACAGGTATTCTCATTCTTTGGACATTTAATAATAATATGCAGACTTAACACTTGACTACTGGAAGTTCTTTGTGCTCCATGGAATAAAGATATGATATTAAAATGAATAAGACTATGATTAAGTTCCTACATGAAAGTTAATGGTGAAAAAACCTATTATGTTCCAATATACTGCCAGAATGCTGAATATACCTGGATCATACAAAAATGTTAAACTTTTGCTTTTTATTTTATAAATAAGAATATTCATTTGGTGGTCTTAGAATGACCTCAAAAATAATTATTCTCCTGAGAAATAAATTCCAGTTGGTCTTGAAAAATGTATGTATTCAGAATAACTGAAAATGTTCACCATTATCTTTAATTTCCCTGATATGATATAGACCTAATAGTTATAATACATAGTAACTATCTTACTATTACATGGGTATAGAATCACTATGCTTCCCTAGTGACTGCTTCCATCAGGGAGATACGAAGTAGGAGAGGGTTGAGAAGAATAAAATTTCAATTAAAAAAAAGGACATTTGAAACTCAGAGAAGCTTGCAGAGAACCTGTGAAATTTACACACACACAAAGATCACCTTAGGTTTCTCTACCTGTGTTTGGTAAGACATATGCATATTTTTAATTTGGGGGATCATTTCTGAATAATTTGCTAACTTATCAAAGCCATAATTCAAAGCAGATTTACTCTACTAGTCTATTTATACATTCATTTATGATTTATATCCCACCTAATCCCAAAAAGAATTTGAGGTGGTTATGAACTATTAATTAGTAATTAATATTTATAGTTTTGATAGAACTTCATATTAGACCATTGCTTTCTAATTAATTACTTATTAGCGCATACATTAGTCTGAATAGCTGTTATATTACTGTGTAATAAATGTGCTTTTAGCAGTAAAAATCTAAATCCGGAAGTGGGAGTTCATTACAGAGAACAGTGCAAGAGCAGCCCAGATGTACACCAGCAACTCCAGGAGAGCAGATGAGTAATGGATACTTCAAGTCATGTCAGCAACAGAATCTGTGGAAGAACTCTGGAGAAGCGAAGATACCGGATATTGGTGACCTGGGAGGATTTAGGAAGCAGTAAGGAAAAGTGAACTTCGAAAAAAATCTAAGCTATGTGGCATGTTACACCTGAGAAAGAGAAAAAAAAAATACCACCAAAAATAAAAAGACAGCATTTGAAAGTATGAAAGCAAACAGAATGAGTAACAAAGCTTCCAGTGAAGGGAAAAGGAAAAAATTGTTTGAACCGTCTCAAATTACATATCAAGCCTGAGGAAGACGTTAAAGGACATTTCCTCAAAGACAAAACATACATAAAGGGAAAGAACACAGAATTAAAATGCAGAGTTGTCAGGAACTGGAAAGTCAGCTTAGAGGACACATTGCAAGCGGTACGGGAACCGGCCTTGAGGACAGGGAGCACCAATCCTGCAAAGCCTTTGCGATTGCCTTTAATTACGATGGAGGCTGTGCTCACATATTCCCTGAAGAGAGGCCCACCCAAGGGTTTCTGATTTTCTGCTCACACATTGCTTGGAGAGAGACAAGCTGTCAAAAAACCATAAAGAACCATTTTAAGAAATAAATTGAAGCTTTCATCTCTTCAAAGATGTGTGATTAGAAAAATAAATCATATAGCTCTTTCAAATCACAGCCGTAAAAATAAAAAGTACCATTATATACATCCTACTTGCATTTAATGAGATAAGGTCTACAAGACTGAGTTCTTGGTATTCAGTTTTATTTCTATCTTGAACTTGACGCTTTCAACGGGCTCTTTTGGAAGAATCAATTGACAGTTTTCTTATTCTAAGAATCTGGGAATGCATTTTATGCACAGCAAAATGAAAGACTTAGTAAGATAAAATGGAATGGTGTATCCACTGCTTTAGTTTAACAGTAATGACAATCATTGGTAACTTTAGAGAAATCAAATTAATTGGCATTCTCGCCCAAAAAAGTAGGTATTAAAAGTATAAAGCAAATTAGATCTCAAACTAGCAATTCCTGACAGACAAGAATGACATGTCATTTGGTCCTTAAAGTCCCATGCGAGTGATTTTCACTAACCTTCCGGTTCGCTGGAGTTCAGGTCCACTATGTCCTCCATGGGGCTCAGCTTCCCCGTGGGCTGCTGTTCCATTTGGCACAGCAGGAATCTTCCTCTTCTCCTGCAGGAAGTTTCTTTGTTTGTTTTGTTGTGCTTTATTTTCAGGTGTAATTCTACTAACAATAACATTTTTTTTTCCGTGAAGCAATATCCAGAGTGGCTAAGAACCCAGGATTTGTTACTTATTTGCTGCTTGAACTCTGGGAGGTTATGTAGCCTCCTAAAGCTTCAGTTCCCTTCTTCATTTACTGGGGGTGACAACATTTACCTATCTTATATCATGCCTGAGAGAATTAAATGAGGTGATGGGTGTTTATTTTTTTAACTAATACTAATTGAGTGCCTAGTGTGTGTCATTCATTGTCATGAATGCTAGAGTTGCAAAGGTGGGCAAGGAAAAGCATTCTGTTAGTGGAAAGAGAATAAATTTACAATATTAGGTAAAGATAGGAGGTATGAAAAAAAGGAAGAGGCAGAGAGAGACCAAGTGGGAGCGAGGAGGTGTTAGCCATGGTGTGTTATATGCCTGGCATAGTTTAACTTTTCAATAAACATTAACTATTATCACTATTTTAAAAGTATATTTCCTAGGCTGAGTGCAGTGGCTCACGCCTGTAATCCTAGCACTTTGGGAGGCTGAGGTGGGAGGACTGCTTGAGGTCAGAAGTTCAAGACCAGCCTGAGCAAGAGTAAGACCCCATCTCTACAAAAAAAAAAATGGGAAAATTAGCCACACATAATGGCATGAGATCGCTAGAGCCCAGAAGTTTGCAGTTGCAGTGAGCTATGATGACACCACTGCACTCTAGCCTAAGTGACAGAGACCCTATCTCAGAAAAATAACATAAAATAAAATAAAATAAAAGTATGTTTTCCTCTGTGATTCCAGCTGATATCTTTCTTCCCAGGAAATAATTTGTAATAGGGGCCTTTCTGACTCATAGAGGCCCAAAGACTATTGCAAAAATAAGGCTTCGAATTGAATCAATGATAAATTAACAGAGATTTAGGCAGCGCTGTTTTCCCATAGGTCTATTATACCCATTTTCATCAGCGACAGAGATTTTTTAAAAAATCACGTAGTCCTATCAAAACATCCTAGCTATGGTGATCTTTGAACACCAATGTGTTCAAAAGCACTTCAAAGGATAGTAAAAAAAACATTTAATTGGTGCAATTAAGATTTTTACTTGACTACCATTCCGAAATAGAATTAGTATAAACATGAAGAACAAAAGTGACTTATCAACTGATAGCGCATACAATGGGACTTTTAGATAGAATGATATGGGTTAAAACATGATAAAGATAGGTTTTGAAATACACACAATACAGGAAAGTTTATTGCTTAATATTTGTACGATTTCCCCAGGTATATGCATAGATACAATGAGACCGAAGTTCAAAGATAAAAAAGAAGACATCTGTCAATTGATGAAGGAGCTGTTTTTACAGGTAAATAGAATACATTAGTAAAGAAATTTAAGATTGTCCGTCAATACCTACTCTTTCCAGTCACTTAGAGAAACATTTCATAGCTTCCACAAGTTTCAGAAAACAGGTAATATTGTATGGTCTTCTGGGGGCACTATCCCTTACGAGGTAAGTTAACTCTTTTTTTTTTTTTTTTGAGACAGAGTGTGTTGCCCGGGGTAGAATGCTGTGGCGTCATCTTAGCTCACAGCAACCTCAAACTCCTGGGCTCAACCAATCCTTCTGCCTCAGCCTCCCAAGTAGCTGGGACTACAGGCATGCGCCACCATGCCGGGCTAATTTTTTCTATATATTTTTAGTTGTTGGATTAATTTCTTTCTATTTTTAGTAGAGGCGGGGTCTCGCTCTTGCTCAGGCTGGTCTCGAACTCCGGAGCTCAAACAATCTGCCCGCCTTGGCCTCCCAGAGTGCTAGGATTACAGGCGAGATAAGTTAACTCTTGTTTTATAATGACAAAAACAAGAGAGTGTGTTGTCTTGGAAGCCAAGTAAAGAAAGTATATCAAGGAAAAGGGAGCCATCAACTCTGTTAAATGCTGCTGATTGATAGGTTAAATAAAGTACAGACTGAGAACTGACCACAGGATTTAGCACTGCGGAGATTATTGGTGACCTTCATCTATTTTAATGAAGTGGTAGGGGCAAACGCCTATTGAAGTAGGTGTTAAGAGAGAATTGGAGGAGAGTAATTGGAAGCAGGTAGCATGGAGAACTCTTCTGTTGCAGTTTGTGGCAAAGGGAAATGAAGAAGAACAGCTGGCTGAGGAGTGGTATCAATAGGGTACTTTTTTTTTAAGATTGGTAAATTAACAATATGTTGTATGCTAATAAAAATGATACAGTACAGAACAAAAGAATTGACATAGAGGAGAAAGAGGAGAATTGGTAATGTTCTTGAGTAGATGTGAGGAGATGGGATATAGTACAAATGTTGAAGGCTGGCTTTGGATAGTTTATCAGTAGTAACACGGGAAGGTAGAGTATATGGATGCAGATGCTGGCAGGTAGATATTTAGGATACTGGAGTCTATGGAAGTTCTTTTTTGATCATTTCAAATTTCTTGGGGAAATAAGAGGCAAGTTACATATAAGAAGGAGGGTCACAAAGGATGTGCTGAAGGTTTGAGGAGAGAACAGATGGAAAATAGTCATCAAGAGAGAACGACTGGACTAGGGAAGTATGTATGATGTACTTGCAACATGAAGGGCCCACTTGAGGTACGTGGTCATGAATTTATGTGAGAACAGCCTTGGTAGTTATATGTTCTCCTTCAGCTTCAGCTGTATCAATGCAGGTATAAAGTAAAGAGCTGGATTCTCACAAGGTTGTGGTTTTGCAAAGCAAGTACATGGCAAGAAAGGAAAGCAAAGAAGTTTAGAGCACATGCAAGGGAGTGATTGTAATGACTGACACAAAGTTCTAATGAATATTTTCAGGGTTATCCTTTGAGATGACAAGTTATTCTTGTCTTAACTGAAAGGAAAAAGTTTTAAAAATGCTGTGATTTTCACATTTCAAAAGAATAAAACCCATGGGAATTATCCCATGGGGGAAATATTATTTAAATGAGTATGAGGTCAGGGTACTTAATACATATTAATTCATTTTACTCCATCTAATAAAAAAAGGGGGCCTTATGCTATCTATTATTTAATTACAGTGTACATTTTAAAAGTATTAATGTTGAAAAGTAGCATACAGTGTATCTCTAATGCATACTCATTGTATAGAATTGTGCTGTCTGATACACCCCCATACTAACCCCAAATGTCTATTTAAATTTAAGTTAATTAAAATCCAAAAATTCAGTCCTTCAGTTGCAACAGCAACATTTCTAGTGCTCAATAGTGGCTTGAGTATTAGATAGCATAGATATAGAACATTTTCGTTACTGCAGCAAGTTCTATTGGATTGCATTGATACAGAACATAAGTAGAGAGGTTAAAGCATTTGTTCAAGGTCATGCAAATGGATAATGACTGAACCCAGATGCCTTGATTCTTAATTTAATGTTCTTTCTACTACTGCCTCTCAATACCCAGAATCCAATAATTAATTCTGCTTTTAAAAGGTCTCATAAAAATAATAAAAAAATACAGATCTCCAAAACCTCTACTTGCTTCAAAAACATTATTCTTCAAAAACAAAGTGTTTTTCAAAGTGCTTAACTTTACCTTCAATGTGTGAAGAACAAATTGGTATTACAGTGACATTTAAAGTTTTACTCTCAATGTATTGATATTTTTGCTGAATTTCTGCAAATAACATCAATTAAAAAGTTTCTATCTTATTACTTCAGGAAGCATTACATTGCCTTTTATAATATCATTAGTGCAAAGTTGTACACGAGAACAGAAATGAGACAATCTACAACCCCAACGATTATGTCTTAAGCAACTGCTTTTATTTTAATAATAGATCAACTGAAATATGTGGCTGCAGTTATAGAATTACAAAATGGTAATTGTTGATAAAAGGTAAGTAAATAATCTTTAATAATTATGAAATGACTTCAGAATGAAAATATAGAAATGAGATGTCAGATTATTTTCTTTAAAATGACAGTGGGCTTGAGATGACCTTTTTAAGCACTAATGGCTGAGAGGTATACTTGCTCATTTGCCCACCTCTGGCTAACCAGAAAAACCTCTAAGTCCATGGCTGGATCAATTAGGCCATTTGTCCCTTTGAATAGACAGCACAGTCAGAACAAGCTGGACTTCACAGGCAAGGACCAAAGGCAAGGCTGAGTACATGACAACTGGGAGGGTTGTGGGAGGCAGATTCAGTAGGAACAGACGTGGCACTGTTAGGAGTGGGCTTAACAAACATTTGGCCAACACTCTTAACAGTAATGTCTGCAATAAAAAAATGACCCCAAACGATAGCAATGCTCTTTATTTACGTGTTTCTGGATTGTATGATAGCTAAAATACATACTAGATTTTCATAAGCAGAATATTTTATAATTTTTATACCATTTGCCCACACAAAATTAATACAAGTATAAGAATTATAATTTTAAAATCTTCCCAATTTTTACTATGATCAGCAGTAATAGGAAGTTTTCTACATAATGTCATTAAGCCATGCCTTTGAATTTTCCTAATACTTGCCAATTTCAAAGTGACGAATCAGATCATACAAAAGCAGTAATGTACTTTTTCTCAGGCCATATTTTACATTGTTATTAAAATTTAAATTTTCCTGCAGTGTAATAACTTTTAGTTGGTTCTAAAATATTTCCAGGTATATGGGACTGTTTTATTTTGTAGCTTATCATCAAAATGCCAAGTTTCTCAGGGAGGTGTGGTGGCTTAGCATCAAGGCAGATTTTGTACCTTCATGCTCCCGCTTTATTAGAGATTATAACTTAAATCATTTGAGTATTTTTGATGTTTATGCTATTTTAAGACATGCCTTTAAAAGACAACAAAATAACGAGAATTTGAAGAATGTTTTCAAATATACGTACCTGGGAAGGAACATTTTTGGGAGGCTCTATTCGAATGCTTGGATCCCATTCTCCAGGAGGGAGAACAGTAACCTGATCCAGAAATTCATCAATTCCTGATACCAAGTCATTACGATCTTTAGCTTTGTAAGCAACGTCATGAAATACCTTTAGAAGAAACAGAAATATCATTTGTAGTTAAAAAATTATAAAACTGTAATGTGTTCAGTGTTTTTTTATCCCAGATAGCTCAAATTGTGGTTATAACAATTTGAAGAAACAGGCAGCTCTGACACTATAGAAGGTTGTAATGTAAAATAGTATAACTGAGTTTGTTTCATTAATCCACACAGATGCTTATTTTTCTCAGGATGCAAGATGAATGTTGAATTTTCTAGAAGCAAGTAGTAAGGGAAAGGAGGATGAAAGGAAGCTCATTAAGCTAGAATTAATGACTTAAGCTAGGCAAAGCTTATTTATGTGGGGGAAAATCAAACTTTCTTAAGAAAGCCCTTGCTTAGAAATAGAGATCAAAATTTGTAGACTGTTTTATAAATGTCAGCAATATTTTTATCCTGGCATATATAAACTAATTTAAAAGGTTAATTTAGTGTCAATTTTGAAAATAATAAGGTTATAAGTTAGTATTTTCTGGAAATACAGTCATCCCTCAGTATCCACAGGAGATTGGTTCTTAGACTCCCTGCAGATACTAAAATCTATGAAGGCTCAAGTCCCTTAAATATAATGATGTAGTATTTGCATATAACCTATACACATCCTTTTGTAAACAAAGGGTTCCTGACTTTCTATGGTTTGTCTTACAATTTTTTGATTTTATGAAGGTGCAAAAGTGATATGCACTCAGTATGTTCCTCAACTTTCAACAGAATTAAGTTTGTATAAACCTACCTTAAGTTGAACATATTGTAAGTCAGATTATGCTGGGTTTATCAGGACATAAACCCATCAAAAGTCAAGGAGCATCTGTACTTAAATCATCTCTAGATTACTTATAATACCTAATACAATGTAAATGGTATGTAAATAGTTGTTATACTGCATAGTTTTTATTCATATTATTTTTATTGCTGTATTGTTATTTTTATTGGTTATTTTTCTTGAATATTTTTTATTTGTGGTTGGTTGAATCTAAGGATGTGGGACCCGTGGATATGGAAGGCCCACTGTATCTTACACAGAGCAGAAAGTGTATTTCCATTCAAAGTGTGAGTTACATTTCACACCTGTGCCCTCCCCCTACCACACACACATGCATTGTGATAGTCATTTAAGCTGTTCAAAGATATTCCAGATTTTCTTCTAGACACATGGTAGGATTGCATTTCTTGGCCTTGTTTAATTTGCATTAAGTGTGTTCTAGTTAGGTGTGCATATGTCATTTTTGAATGGAAGTTGAGTGGTAATGTATGACTTATCATATTACCTTTTTTTCTGGTTTAGTGACTGAGAAAACACAGGTCCAGAAAGAACTTCTGTGAGTCTGGGTGCCTGAGTGATTATGATGAGCAGAGTCGCTCTGCCAGCTTGTGATGGACATTGTTCATGATAGAAATGGGACCCATTTGTACTCACCATCAAATTGGTATTAACTAATCAACACATAAATGCACATATCAGAACAACATCTATTGGATGCTGGGGAAGGGGGAGGGTGGTGGGTGGAGGGGGGAAGAGGGAGGAGGGGAGGGGTATTTGTATACACAAGGAGGGCAATGCGCACTATCCGAAGGATGGACATATTTGAAACACGGACTTCGGTGGGGGGGGAACCAAGGGCAACACACGTAACCAAAACGTATGTACACCCATAATTTGCTGAAATAAAAAAAAAAAAAAAAAAGGAAAAAAAAAAAAGAAATAAACTTTTATTGTTTTAAACCACTAAGGTTTTTGTTGATTATTCCTGCAGCATAACCTAATCTCTCCTGACAAACATACACAAGAATGATACACTTAACATGCTAAATGAGGAAAGTGAAAATAAGGGTAAGGAGGAAAAATTAATTTACAGTAAACACAATATAAATATTTCTGATACCTTTTGTATTTCATATAAGATGAAACAGAACAGACAAATATTTGAAATTAGGGATTCCTATATTATTCTTTATGCTGACCTATATTATAGCAATGGGATATCTCAAAATTTCCAGGAAAATTCTGCTTTCAAATATTCTATTCCATTTTTAGGCCATTTGTTTCAGTTTCTGGTTTGATATTCAATCTAAACTACTGCTGAAGTGATAATGAACATTTTAAAAGACTTTTTCTTGACTTTACAACTAAGAACACTTCATGAAATATCATTGATGTGATAAATATACAGTCTTTGCTTAGGATAATATGAAAATATCAAAGATATATTAATGGCTTAGTTGTATTTTGAGAAAGAGATTTTTTTTTTAATTTTAAAAACACAGATTTACCTGCCATAAGCCATTGATTTTATGGCTTAGAATATACTCTTTTAAAGATCTTTACCTGGCCCTAAGATCAAATCTGAACACGTAAGTATTGCAAATGTTCTTAATCCTTAATGAGACTTGACTTTACTCCTTTCCTATTAGTAGCATCTCTCTTGAAATCTTTCTTGATTTGATGTCATTTAATTAAAAAAATTGCTTTGAGAGATCACAGGATCCTATACCCCACTTTAGATAGACAAATGTCCAAATTCATCCAGGATAACAAATTTCCTATTATTTTAAAACTCCTTAAAGATAATATACAACACAATTTGTTTGATTTTAAATTATAAGCAGTGTTTATTCTTGTTTTCCTATTACCAATTTCACTAATAACTTAATTTAAATTTTTTCTACCTTCTCTTTGTCTAGCTAACCTAACATTCTGATTTCAACACATATCTGACTTCTCAGAAAAGCCTTCCCTGACCCCCTCTTAAACAAGGTGACACACTTTGTTAATACAGTCCTAACACCTTCTCGTTCTTCTTGATAGATTTCAGTGTAATTATAATTACTTATTACAATTAATTGTTAATTATATAATTAGATGTTTAATGCCTGTTTTCTCTGCTAAAGCATTCAATAAATGTTTATCAAACCATTTAAGTGCTAGGAATACAGCAGTGCACAAACCCCAGCAAAAATCCACACCCTCATGGAGCTTATATTCTAAGGGTGGGGGTGAGAAGGAAGATAAACAATAAAAATTAGTATACGTTTAGGCGGATGATGGAAAGTGCTATGGAGAAAAATGAAGCAAGAAAGGGGAATAAAGGTATGACTGGGGGATGCTGCAATTTTAAATAGGGTGATTAGAAAGGCCTCAATGAGTAGGTATTTCAGTAAAGGCCTGAGGAGTTAAGGATGCATGCCATGCAGCTATCAGGAGGAAGAGCTTTCTAGGTAGATGGAAGCACCAGTGCAGAACATGCATATCATGCTTGAGAAGCAGCAAAGTGGCCAATTTCTGGGGAGGAGCAAGAAGAAGAGTAGCAGGAGAAGATGTCTGAGAGGTAAGATGGAGGAGGCTAAAGGACATTCTCTAGGACTTTGTAGGTCATCATGAGAACTTTGACTTTTACTGTAAATGAGATTAGGAAGTCATTAGAGGTCTTGAGCAGAAGAGGGATTGCTCTAGTTGTTGTGTTGAGAATAGAATGAAGTGAGGCAAGGGCAGAAAGAACAACTAAAAGGCTCTTGCAATTATCAAATAATAATGGTGACATGGACCAAGTGATAGTGAAAGTCAGGTAATAGTGCAGAAAGTGAGAAGTACTATAGTAGGATTCTGGATATATTGTAAAAGTCAAGCCAGGAGGATTTACTGACAGATTGGATTTGGGGTGTGAAAGAAATAGAGGAGGCAAGGATGACTTCAGGGTTGTTCCATGAGGCCTGTGACCATATCTTTAATTTCTACCACTTTATCTCCATTATATAGTGGCAATACATATATATTCATCACAATAACAACACAAAATAAGTACTATTATTATCATTCCCAGTTTAAAGATGAGAAAATTGAGGCAGAAAGAGTTTAGGTTATTTAACTTCTCCAAGACTGTACAACTAGGAAGTACCTTTCCTTCCCCCCCTCCTTCTTTTTATTTTCTTCTTTTCAAAAGACAGGAGATTCTAGGTCATTTTTGTGAACTGATAGAAATGATATAAGGAGCCAGGGTGGATAACTAAGAAGCAAAGTTCTCTTCAATTCAGGGGTAGGAATAAGGAAGGATCCAGAAAAGGAGACTGGGAAGAAGCAGCAAGGAATTAAGAAGAAACTCCAGCATACGAGGTTTTTGGTTTTTTCCCTTCAAGCCTGTTTTTAACTATTCCTGGACATTTGTTCTTCCAGATATTTCTTAGAAATATGTTTACTAAGAGAGTTCTATTAGACCAGGTTTGTGGTCCTCACGAAGGCATTTACTCATTCTCCTGTCTTCTCCCAGATTTCCTAAATAGTATAAGTTACTCATTGCCGTGGATTGAATAGTGTCCTCCCAAAATGTATGTCGACCTGGAACCTCAGAACGTTTTTGCAGATGTAATTAAGGTAAAGATCCCAAGAGGAAATCATCCTGGATTAGGATGGGGGGAAAAGCCATATGAAGATGAAGGCAGAGATCAAAGTTCTGCCCCACAAGCCAAGGAATGCCAGGAGCCACTAGAAGATGGAAGAGACAAAGAAGGATCCTCCCCTACAGCCTCTGAAGGGAGTGTGGCCCTGCTAACACCTTCACTTCAGACTTCTGGCTTCAAAAACGTGAAAAATTACTGCTGTTTTAAGCTATCCAGTTTGTGGTCATTTTTTTATGGCAGCCATAGGACATTAACACACACATTAAGTTGGTTCTTTTTGAAAACTGATTAAAAAAATGTTTTTATTCCAGCTTTTGGTTTCCCTATGTGTAAAAATAAATAACAGATTCATATGAAACCATAAAATATAATTTGAACAGATAGAAGAATTTCTTATTTTGAACCCTAAAAACAAGTTCATATTTTCATATTTACAAACCTAGGAAAAGCAATGTACAATACTAATTGGCTCTTTTTACAGAATTTTCAAGTATCTGAAGCTATGTATTTCAACAAACACATTATTAAATTATTTAGATGATATTCTAGAAAATGTATAATCCCATTTGTTCATTTACTACTGAATTTTGAATTAATGCCCCTTCTGTGATATATTGCATCTGCTCTTCCCTTTAACAATAAGGACAAATTTCCATAATGTGTTGAAGAATCCAAGTCAAAGAAAATAGTTATATGATACTACTTTTTATATTCTCATATTTAAGATCTTACATTTATGAGACATTCACCTCTTTGAGAAGTTGCTGAAAGCTTTTTCCAATCCAAAAAAATCTACATATAAATTTTTTACATAGAAAAATTTGTGTGCTGTATCAGGGAGATCACAAGTCCCTTGAAATCCATCTACAGCTCTTCTAATAGTTCAAAGACTCTCAGGTTAAGAACATCTATATTCAGGCAATTTTAGAGAATTGGTAGGTGTCGTATGGCTTTTTGGTGTCATATATGCTATTCAGATGTTACTGCCATTGTTTTTCCTTTAGACTTTAAAATTATTTTGCTTGAGACAAGATTTGCAATGATATTAACAATAGTGCTTACTTTGACAACACATATACTATAAGGGGAATATTAATTAATATATTCTAAGTGCCACTAAACAAATTTTCTTTAGAATATGAGGTTTTAAAATATGATATTCACATGTGTTAATTTATTACCCCTTTGGAACAAATTTTTCTCAAGGAAATTTTATAGTGGACGTGTGGAAGAATGGGATTCAATACAGAGAAATCTGATTCATAGCAAACTGTCATGAAAACAGGACCTCCAAAAGTTAGGTGTACCTAGTGGGGGAAAATGTTCCCAATGAACTGGAATAAATACCTCATCTGTCATTAGGGTTGCAATTGATCTGCCAATCTCATGGTACTGTTGACCCTTTCCCAGGGGTCCCAGAAGAATGAACAAAAATCTGTAATTAAGAAGAAGAAGAAAAAAGAAATGTTTCAAGATAGAAATATAAAAATAATTTTAATAGTACAGAATCATTCATGTCAAAGGAATTATTGAAAATGGGGATTTTGGTGTGAAATAATCACATAGTTTTTCACAGTTCATTATTATTTTGAACATTTTACAATGATTGACTCTTATGCTTAAGATCCTTGAGCATTAGGAATGCATGGTTACTTATTTCAGTGTTTCCCCATTTAGTTATCTGTACAGCATATGCAGTTGTTACTGGGAATTATAAGCATTCTATAATCCTTGGAGGAGAAAGGTGGGAAAAGTAAAATCTTATTAAACCTTTCTAAAGTGGAATGAAGAAAACTCATTTGTATGTAAAATGGAGAGCAGTTCAAAGGGGGAAAAAGGTAATACAGTAGGATAAACAAGGAGAGAATGTATTGTCAAAAAACAGGAGATTCATGTAAAATTTACATTAAATATAAAAAATTATTGTTAGGAATCAAAGATCAATTAGGTAGAAGAAAATGGAGAGTTAATGATCTATTAATTCCAATGCTACAGAAATAAAAATAGCAGTTGCACTATAATATTCCATCTAAATTAGGTCGAAGGTTTGGCGCATTCATCATCACAACTCGTGCTTTTAAGGAAATCAACATATGCTCTAACTTTAGAGAACTGGTAATTGCCCTGTGTCTGAGAAGGTCCATGCTTAAGGGAAATTTTAAAATTTAAAGAATGCCCTATAGTCTGCAGTATCATTCTATGGTGTTAATTTGTTAAATGGTTTATGCTATTAAGTATGAAGACTAATGGCTTTATACAGTATACTAAAATAATTACTATAATTCTACCCTTCATTTAGTTATTATCTTTAGAGATTGTACATGTTTTTACGTGATGCATCTATTATACAATCTTAGAGGATGTGACATTAATTTTTTGTGTCAGTTGTAACTGAATCCAAGTCAATTTCTACTATATGGAAATGTTCACAATATAGCAAAACCAGGAATAGTTTAATGTGGTGACAGATGCTTTATCAAGTATAATACTTTAAAGAAATTTCCTAACCTATGTACATCTTGCTATTTTTCAGGTTTTCATTCCTTGGGCTATTTATAAAGTCCTAAAAGATTATTTTCTGATATTGCTACTATGCGCTGCCATTATATTGATGGGGTGCCCTTTTGTCTTCCTAAGAAAGGATAATTAAAAACCCTGAATGGCTTCCTTTATTCTATTTGTCTAACTAATCTTCTTTCATTTTTCACCTTTCCTCACTAAATAGTCTGGTCTTTGCATCTCCACTTACACAGTTGCTCTCCAGTGCCCCTAATATTTTTCTCCATTGTTCTCTACACATACTTTGCTGTGTCAGTATGAAATGAGGTCATCTAACCCTGACAGTTTTCAAAGTGAGAGTATATAACCCCATTATGGCTTTTCTCTACTCCTGGAAATTTTTCTTTTCTTTCTTTTGAAATACAGGAACTATCATTGTCATAAATAGCCGTAATTTACTCATAGTTCACCAGATACCTTCCTAAATGGTGGGATGAGAATGTATGGCTTCAAAGACTGAAAAGGAATTCTAAACTGCTAAAAAATACCTCTACAATTAGTAAGTCTGACATCTTAAATCTGAATCCCAGATTCCCAGAAACTCTGCATAGGTTATAGGCTGTACATAGAAAAATACAGCCTTAATCATACAGTCAGATGCCACTTTAATGTGCTCAATTCACCCTTTCATTTTTTTTTTTTTTTTTTTTTGAGACAGAGTCTCACTGTGTTGCCCGGGCTAGAGTGCCATGGCGTCATCCTAGCTCACAGCAACCTCAATCTCCTGGGCTCAAGCGATCCTTCTGCCTCAGCCTCCCGAGTAGCTGGGACTACAGGCATGCGCCACCATGACCGGCTAATTTTTTCTTTGTATTTTTTTAGTTGTCCGATTAATTTCTTTCATTTTTAGTAGAGACGGGGTCTCGCTCTTGCTCAGGCTGGTTTCAAACTCCTGAGCTCAAACAGTCCGCCCGCCTCGGCCTTCCAGAGAGTTAGGATTACAGGCGTGAGCCACCACGCCCGGCCTCATTTTTTAATAAAGATTGACGTGTATCAGAAATCTCAGTAGCTCTCAAAAAGGATAAACAGCAACGTCTTTCTATAACCTGAACAGTCATTAGGCTCCTCCCTCAAACCACAGAGTCAGGCATAGTTACTTGAACACTAAGTCCCGTTTGAGTCAGCTGAGCTTTCACAAAATGAGGCCTCTCCTGGCTGCACTATTCCATATTTCTGGAATATCTTATCCATAATCAAAGCATGGAGTGATGTAATCTGCTGTTTTAAGGCCAGAGATCTTACAAACCCAGTTGCCACAGCACCTGAACTTTTCATCAGTTTAACTTGACTAAAGCAAGTTTGGAGGAGGAGGCATTCTAACAGTATCTGAGACAGTTATAGCATCAAACAAAGGGCACCAGTCATGTGGGAAATGGGGCCCTAAATAGACATGTTTTGCAGCGGGAACAGGACTACAATGAAAAGCTATCTGCATATAACCATTGCATTTGATGGTCAATTGTAAGGAAGAAACCAAGGTTCCCTGATAAATTGCTAGGAGCCCAATGTGTTAAAGTCAATATTCTATTTGTTCTTTTCATTTTATTCATAATTTTACCAGTGGACAGCCTTCTATGTATAAGATAAGGATATATGATAAACAACATAATTCAGTTTGTATTATCTCTAAACTGTTAGTTTTTATGTGTAGCTAAATGAAAAACAAGTTCAGTAATCAAATTAAATTTGTCCTTTTGACTCAGATTCAACCACACTACCATGATGTCATTACCAGTGATTCTTCAGACCCCGTGTGTAGGAGGCACATTGACACATACAGTATATTTGATATGTCAGGCACTGTCCTAATGAGAGCACTTACATGCATTTTGAAGGCCTACCCATTCAAGCATAAGCCAAATCTTGGAAACTTTGATCTCTTTAAGTTTGACCACACTCATATACAAGATCCTCCCTTTCTTTAGTGTACAGTTTAATTTAATCTTTGAGAAAAGCCTAACACTTTATCACTTATTTTACCAAAAATTTAAAAAAGGATTTATGTGGTTATATGGTTATATAGACCAGGGTACCCCTAGAAATGAGGAATATGCCTAAAATAAAACATAGAAGTTTGTGAGGGAGGAGAGAATAGAATAATTTTTAAAATATTTTCTCCCTCCTCCACAAGCAAGAAGAAACAAGTTTTATGGATTACACATTAGTTTCTAGTCAGATTTAACAGGAATCATGTTTAATCCCTGCTTTTTTTCTATAAAAAAATTTAAGAAAAATATAAAAGATGTTCTTATACATTTTACCTGGTTGGGATTGGGACTTCAGCCAGTCCTTGAAGCAATACAGCTGGAGACAACCTGACAAACGCAACTACAGTTCGATCTAAGAACTCCAATTCTCCAACTAAGATGTTTGATGCTTCAGCACCTGGAGGAATCTTTTTCATAAAATGCAGATCAACCTGCGGTTATCACAAAGTAAATAAGGTAATCAAAATTGGAAAAATGTGATAAATCATATTCTAGCCCAGGGCTTCACATACAGTAATCCATCTATATATAGTTTAAATAAATACACATAACATCTCATTTGCTCTTTTTCTATAACTTTTTTCTTTAATTGTGGATTATTTGAATTTATCATCAATAAGCTAAATACTCTAGTTTTTCTATTCATTATTTTTAAAAGAAACTTCTTCAGCATCAACAATCTTGAAATTTCAGGAGGGAAAAGTATATGTACTCAATGTAATAAATATACTTTAACTATAATTTAATTAGAATTTGCCAACAGATTTAATATTTCATTCTATGTTATCTTAATTTTTGTATATAACATATTTCAATTAAAATTCTCAAAATAAGCTTATCTCAAAAGAAATATAATCATGTTTCTCCTTATACTATAAATTATGACTTAAAATTTCATCTTTTTTCTAGTTTGTTCTATATTCTTCACATTCTATACTTGGTCTGATAATTCTTCAATTTTATTTTTTCATCAGAGAATTTAGATATGACTGAGTAGAGAAAACAAGAATAAAAATATTAACATTTGGAATTGCTCAAGAGTCATAGCTGAATTTCTGACATGAGATGTCTGTGACTGAAATGAATGCACACAAAACAAAAGCAATCATTAATAAGAAATTCTAAGAGCAAAGGGTGAACTCTGAAAAATGAATGTAAAATATCCTTAAGAATAAATATCAATTTTTATATACAAGTCCTCAGTGAAAATCAAACAGTGACTCTAAAGTAAATTTTAAAAGGCCTATTGCTTATTTCTAATTTATTTGAATTGCTTTTTATGGAACTCTGTTTTCAGGGGAAAAGAGTTTATCTGCTCTAGTGATTGGTTTTATGCCCTCATGTTAATAAAATGGGGGTCAAGGATTAAAGTGGGAATAGCCAAGAGGGAGAGGAAAGAGCTCTGGCAAATATGGGTGAAGCTAAGAGTATTTTGTAGGCTAGATAGTTCTTTTGTAGGTCTAGTGATTTGAGAATATTTATTCCAAAAGTTTAAGATGAAGACATGTAAAATTTCGGCGTAACTTAGAAAATCCATAATAACACTTTAACAACTACATTAAATAATGTTCTTAGATCGAACATTAAATATGTTGCTTTCTGAAATTAAGACCTCTGTGTAGCTATCTGGAGGGTTTATAACTAATTAATCTTTCTGTAGGATAAGGGTGCCACAAAACATAAAATCCAGTATATGGAGTATGTATTTTATCACAAAGGATTAAATATGAAAATAATCTGCAGTACTTCATCAGAAAATACCAAACAGAACCAATATTTTATTTTAAAGAAAAGGAAGAATGATTTAACAAAATAAAACTGCTTATAAAAAGAAATAAATGACAAATATTACAAATTCTAAAAAGTTTTTAACCTACAAATACACTCCCAAATATAAATTTGTAAATTCGTAATGTGTATTGGATTATATAGCAAATATTTTGCTTTCGTAGAATCTAACCTTTTAATTTATAGATAAAAAAGTATTTAATAAGCTTAAATTTTATGAGACTCGTTATGGTATTTTTGCATGTATATTTCTAGCTAGGAGAAGTGTACACATTAAAAATGCTTTAAATTAGTCATGCTTTACATTTCCACTATAATGCAAAAATTCCTAAGAAAAGTATAAAAGATTTCCTATACACTATTAGCCCTGTGAGAAAAACATAATAAATCTTCATAAGTTTTTAAGAGCCTAAAAGAATAAACAATTAAGTTTTTACCCTCAGTGGAAAGAATAATGATGCAATACTAATACATTGGAACAAAATTTAAAATGAGAAAATGTCTTTTAAAAAGTCTATAATTGCTAATCAATGTGAGTTATATTGATAATACTTGAAGTTTAAACTCCACCTAGAAAACTTCCTTTAAATTTATCTATTGCTTGACAAAAGCCATAGTCTCAACTATTAAATTCTGTGTCTCAGGCAGGTGCCAATTATAGAAATAACTGCTTTAAGATAAAATTTAATTAAATGAATATATAGTATGCCAAATTAGTTTAATTTTACAAAAGGAAATATATGGTCCTTACATATAATTTTTTTAAATTACATAATATCTAATGTATCATTGATACTGTCATTTAGAAAAAGCATTAAAATATACAGAATTTAATTTCAGGATTAGCAAATTTATCTTTTGATTTAAAATGTAATAAATTATAGTTACATATTTGGGGTAGGTATTATTACATTATATTCTTCTTGGAGTAGACATATATTTGAGGGGATACGAGATGATATATTACCCAATTACATATTATTCCTGGGGTAGCCCTATATTTTTGTATTTGTGGTATTAGAAAATTCATAAATAACTTTATCTGTTATATTGAAACTACCTTATTTTTTTATTTCAAAATATTATGGGGGTACAATATTTTGGTTACATATAATGCCTTTGCCTCACCCAAGCCAGGGCTACAAATGTGCCCTTCCCCCATACAGTGTACTCCACATCTATTAGTTGTGAGTTTACCATCCCCCCACTCCCTCCCACCTGACTGGCACCCAGTGAATATTACTACCATGTGAGCACTTTAGTGTTGATCAGTTACTACCAATTTGATGATGAATACATGTAGTCTTGTTTTTCCATTCTTATGATACCTCACTTTGAAGGATGAGCTCAAGCTCTATTTAGGATAATATAAGAGGTGTTAGTTCACTGTTGTTTTTTGTAGTTGAGTAGTATTCCATGGTATACAAATACCATATTTTATTAATCCACTCGTGTATTGATGGGCACTTGGGTTGTTTCCACATCTTTGCAATTGTGAATTGTGCTGCCATAAACATTTAAGTGCGGATGTCTTTATTATAGAATGTCTTTTTTTCCTTTGGGTAGATGCCCAGTAGTGGGATTGCTGAATCAAATGGTATTTCTATTGTTAGCTCTTGGAGATATCTCCAAATTACTTTCTAGAGGGGTTGTACTAATTTGCAGTCCCACCAGCAGTGTAAGAGTGTTCCAATCTCTCCACATCCATGCCAGTATTTGTTGGTTTGGGACTTTTTGATAAAGGCCATCCTCACTGAAGTTAGGTGATATCTCATTGTGGTCTTGATTTGCATTTCCCTAATGATTATAGATGTTGAGCACTTTTATATATGTTTGCTGGCCATTATTCTGTCTTCCTTTGAAAAATTTCAGTTCATGTCCTTTGCCCATTTTTTGATGGGATTGTTAGATTTTTTCTTGTTAATTTTCTTAAGTTCTATATAGATTCTAGTTATCTGCCCTTTATCGAATGCGTAGCATGCAAATATCTTCTCCCATTTTGTAGGTTGTCTATTTGCTCTAATGATAGTTTCCTGGGCTATGCATGAAACTACCTTTTAATATAACAAAAGATCATGTTTAAGGACCACAATTTAACCTTTTGTAAAATTATAACTATCTAAAACAGCTCTTGGGATCTAGGTTAAATTACATCCCTAAGACAATCTCAAGTGGACCCAAACACTTGGAATGGACATAAATCCTGGAAGTTCCTGGTCCTCTGAATGGGACCTTGAAGGAATCAAGCTATACTATTATGGGTCTGGATTTACACTCATGCTTCTGGGCTCTCCAAGTTCCACCTTTATGCTAAGAAGGGAAAATCCTTTATTCTGAGCATTTGATACTTAAGCTGTGACACCAAGTTGAAGGAAAAATACATGGAAATTTAGGTAGAAAGTTAAAGTCTTAAGCCCGCTATAGAAAGTACAAGAAAATGAGTAGAGATTCTCTGGGGAAAAATAGTGTCTTGATACTAACTAGCCAGTGATCTTGAGTAGCTTTCTTAATCTCTCTGGAATTCAGCTTTTTTGCTAACTAAATGAGATGTCTAAGGGTTCCTACAGTTCTAGGGTTTAATAATCCAACTCTCTGTAACATGTTTCACACACTAAAGCTAGATACAGAAGAAAGTTCTTTCTACATTTAAAATTATCTGATGCCTTCTTTGGGTCATTTGAAATAAAAGAAACATCACCAACATAAAAAAGCCATCTTCTACTATCAATTTAAAACACAGATATTTATAGTATTTTGACATATCTGCTTTATTATAGGAAGCTAAAACCTGACAATTCAGGTTACATCCTAAATCATTCCTTAAATGAATAAATTTGATAGGCCTATCCATTGGAAGGGTTAAAAATGTGTAGATTGAAGATAGATTGAATATAGGATCAAGTCACATGAAATGAATAAAGACCTTTCTCCCCCTTAACATCTCAAAATTCTGCTGGGGTTTAATGGTGAAAGTAACCTGGGAACTAGCTGAGTTTTGATAAATTCACTACAAAATTGAAATCATAAGTCTAAAAAAAAAAAATCTTAACTCACACACCTGCAAAATCTGGCAGTAAAATGTGTTTCCATAGTGATGGAGGACAACTGTTCTTTCCAACCCTACTTCTCTGCCCTCCCAGGTTATAAAGTAAGAAGTATTACTACTTTTCTTTTCTTTTTTTTTTTTTAATTCCAAAACTAAAGGCTTAAATTGTTTTGAATCTTGCAGGATTCATTCAGCAAGTACAGCCTAAACACTTTTCAAGGCACTAAACATCCAGCGGAAACTAAAACATATTAAATTCTGATCTAGTATCTAGCTTTGATACTATCATTTTGTACTAATATTAATAATAATAATAATAATAATAATAGTAACCACCTTCTATTGAGCACCTGCTGTAATATCCAGCACTCTGTCAGGTGCTCTCTCTATATATTTTCTCTTTGAATATTCACAACAAAACTGTAAATAGGTATTTTTATTCTTATTTTGCAAATGAGAAGTCTGAAGTTTAGCAAACTTCTCCAAGATCAGAGAGTTTATAAGTGCTAGAGTCAGGATTTAAGACCTCATGCTCTTTCACAAAAGCAATGTTCTTTCCAATGCGCCAGGCTACGAACAAGGGACTGAGGAATACAGGTGGCTGGCATTAAATAGAGGGCTCTAGAAATTTAACTTGCCTATTAAAAGATTGAATGGGCCAGTGAACCGAAATGCAATGACGAAGAAAAGGATTAAAGAAAAGAAAATCTATTTTTCACTCTTCTGTAGTTTTAATTGTTTGGGGGGATGTGAAGATGAGACTACTGTCTCCAACTGGCAACCTTCATTTTCTTTCTTGTGTGATGAAATATTTTTGAAGGCCGCAAAGATCGGTTACACAACTAAAAGCAAAATGATACAGAGATATAATATTTAGTATATAAAGTTTATATTATTTTTAAAAAGTTAAAAGGTAATTTATTTAAAAGGCTGAGCTATGTGGTTTATAACCATTGTTTTTGAGAATGTTAAATGTGCCTTCGTAATACTCTTAATGCTTGCATAAATAAATAAGCAACTTGTTATGCCATTGCTTTTAAGATATTGTTTCAAATTAAAAATATCAGAAATTAAATGTATGGCAGTTTGTGACAACTTTATTCCAACTTGCAGATGAATGAAGATGTAATGCTTTAAAAAGATAACTTTTAGAGTGGCAGATGGAATGCATTTGAACTGGCTTAATGTTTGAATCACATGCCTCCATATAGTGAAATGAGCTTTGAACCACTGTCGAAATGCCCCCGAGGATGCCCTCACCTCTCTCTCTTGCTGGTGTGGAGGTCCTTTTTCATGCCTTTGTTTCATCCCACATGGACTAGTATGCCCCTTTTGTTGGCCTCCCAGTCCCTGCACGCATAATTAACAGACTTAAGCTGGTACACCATGCTCCCACGGAGACTCCGCCAGGCACCAGAGGGAGAGCATGCACATAACTAGACCTAGATCATTTAGGCATTGTCAGAGGGATTCTGAAACAGGTCCAAGGAGCTGATTACTATTAACTTTTTCAGAACCTTGACTCAGGCTACTTCTTTTACCGCTGCCTCCCATTCCCACCTCCTCCCACTACTGTTATACAATCATTGCCAGCGCTAAAGGCTTTATTAAAATATTCTGAGTTACAACTGTTTCAGCCACTCAGATAAAGAGAATTGTTGACCCTCCTTATTTTTATTCAAGCTTGAAACTCCTCCTCTTTTCTATTCGACTCCTAGTTTGACATAGTTGACCATGGCACATATATAATGTCAGGAATTTGCTAACCCAAATCACGTTATTTTCACTGACTCATTATTTTCTTAGAATACGTTCAAGTAAATGATTTCATTTGAATTGTCTACAATTAGATGTATTTCTCAACAGTCAGTCCTCAGTATGTTTTTATTCAAAACTCTGCTCAGTTTTACTATGCCCTTCTAGGATTTCCTTACATTAATGCCTTTGTCTGAATTATAGTGACAATGAAAATTTACATTGTAAATTTGCTTTCCCACAAATAAAGGAAAAGTTATTAAAGAAAAAAAGCAATAGCAAAAGTTTTTAAACAATACATTAAACTTCTCTTAAATTCCCTATGAAGCCCTTTATTCTTCTTATTGGAAGAGATACATTATACCAAGTGGCTGAAACCTGAAGATTATGCATAAAGCTTACAAGTTCTCTTTCTGAATAAGCAAAATGTTACTTGTGGACTTAATGCTAACATTATCAGTAACAATATCAAGCTTTGACTAAGAAACAACAAAAAAGTACATGCAAAATATTGTGTCAACACCTCTTAAAATGGGTAGTAATATCTAGTAGTAATTTAGCAGCTTATTTAGATGAGAGGGAGAAAAGCTTACCTTGCTGAAGTCAACAGTGCTGTTTTCTCTGCTAACATCGTTTTTATTTTCAACACAGGCTGGAGCAGACTGAGGAGAAACAACCTGACCTGCTAAAAGAGATTGTTATTACAGAATACAAACAATTACTTACAGAGTTCTAAACATATTGAATAAAATATGAACTTCAATCGAACTAGACTAACATACATTTCTTAGAGTTTATAATGTCAGCATGAAGCATCAATATAAATAGATCTATATCGATACAAAAATTCTTATTTATCAGTTACAGATAGAAATGGGAGAATTCAGTCAAGAACATTTAAACCAACTTTCAGATTGAAACTCTAAAAGGTTATTCTCTATGAAGAAAAATTGCCTAGAAAATTATCTAAATGTAACCATGATTTTGAAACATCATTGATTCTAAATTTCAACCCAAACTAATGGTATATATAAAAAGATAAGATGGACATCTATTAAGATTTAAGCTCAGACTGAAGAATTTAAAACGTAAAGCATTAGAACAAGGACGAATATTTGTCTGAAAATTACACAGTATATTTTTCGGTTCTATTGCATCTAAAAAGCCAAACCAATGAGAAAAAGTTCTTTGGCAGTAACTTTTAGAGATTTCTATATAAGGGGTTCAGTTAGAAATTCCTTTATTTTACACAGTATGAACACTGTGAACCTGATTTTATGCCTGTGACTCTTATATTACATAAGCATAATGATACAAAATAAGATATGAGAAAAGATAAACTTAAATGTATTAGTTTCCCATTAACACTAACTAAAACTTAATTATTTTACAGTTCTTTTCCCCATTATAGGGAAGATAATGATATTAAGTGGATAGTAGAGCTGGGAATGTGAAATGGCTAGAAAAGGTTAAATTCCATTACTGACTAAATATGACACATTCTTTGCAATCTCAAATCATCTGAAATCTGTCCATGGTCAGCAATAAAATAAAATTAAACCTCTCCCCATCTTCAGTTGTTACTTTTGCTATGAGATGAGTAATGATAACCCAACTTTGAAGCCTTCACCATATTTATGATCCTAATTCAGTGACTCCAAAATACTTCTCTTATTCTCATCAGTCTTAGATGTCAAAAATAATCACTCTGCCTAGCTTTCCTCTCTACCTAGCTAAAGCCCAATTTTATTCAAAGTTCACCTTCAGTGTCATCTTCTCCAATTACTTCCATCTCTGTCCAAACTTCTCTAAACTCCTAGTGTAAATACAAAAAAAAAAAAACCCTTTTCTTTAAATTCTCTCCTGAAAACTCACTTATTCTTTGTTACCAAGAAATTACCAAATGCAATTAAAAACACCAATTATTTACTTTCAGATATTACTATAATTTTGCTTTTTGGACTATTAAGCCTCTTAGGCAGGGGTCACTGTCACTAACTAATAGGTATAACTTTTTATGGTTTAGAATTGTTATATTGCCAGAAAGTAATAAGCTTAAGATTCTTCTAGAACTTAAATATTTTACTGCTTTCACTCAATAGAGTGAAATAATACATTTGGTGAAGAGAAAAATAAAATGACTTTTTAGAGCAAGTTCATCTCAAACTGCGTACACAAATTTTGAATATAGCATGTTCCAGGGAAATATATAAACTTCAGAGAAATGTCAAACCAGTTATATCAATTATTTTTATTCTCCCATTTCTAACTACAATGTGCAGCTATAGCTGTGAACTGTTCATTAGCAGCCATTCAATTTACCATTCTCAAAATAATAACTGTAATTTTTAAAAAACCTTTTACATAATGCATTTGTGCTACTAACAGATGTCTTCAATCACCAGTTTCACATCATTCTCCATATTTTCATGAGTTAGAACATTAGATTTATTTAAACCTAAATTTATTGTGTGTTCTGTAAAATTGGTAAAATTTGAGTCATGGAAAAATTTTTAAATGTATATCTGCTTCTTATAATAATTTATTTTATGTGATATAAAACTACATGGAGGAGCAATTATTTAATTCTATCAGCAAACACATACAAAAAGAGAGTTAACCCAGTGAAAAAATCATCAACTTTGAAGAGATTGAATTGGATAGAAAATATGCTGGAACTTAAAATTTGAAGAAATTGAATACTTTATGTTTTCACTTGTATACTTTAAGCAGAACATTTTGTAAATTACCTTCAGACCGGGCAATGTATATAAAATATTGGCACTTGTATTTCTTCTTGTAAATAATTATAGTAGTTAATATATTAATATTATATGTAATAATTGTAATAACATATCGTTCTGTGCTATTCTCATTCTAAGATGATAATTTTATAAAGTTGATAATCAGGAAAGGATTTAGAAACTATTTTTTATAAATATTTTAAGTGATATTGATAATGACCTAGTTGAGAGTATTTATCTGAAGAAGACACATCAGGACATCATAAATTCCCTGCTAGTTCTTGATCCTATGTATGCACATAGAATATATGCTAATGCAGGAAAAAAAGCATAAAAACTACCAGCCTATGATATAGAAATATAAACTACAAATTTGATATCTTTTATATTTCAGAGTAAGCAGTTAAATAATAGGAGTAAGTATTAGTAGTTAAATATAGTTGATCACATCAAAAGTCCTGCAAAGTTTAAGGAGCATTTCAAATCTTGGTATTATTTCTAA